CCCAGGCGCGGGCGTCGCCATCGAGCAGGCCTAGCGCAACTTGTACCTTAAGCTCAATGGTCGTCAACGACGTGTTGATCAACCAGTAGATACGAAGTTGCGACAGGAACCTGTCGCATTCGATGACGGTTTTGCCGTCATAGCGGAGGGGGAGGAGAAGTTTCAAAGTCTCCTTGTCGGGGGCGGCTGCGGGGGATGACATTATCAGCGTCGGGGGGGACGGAGGACATTGCGGGGGTGGAGGCGGCTGTGGTGGCCCTCTGCTGGTCGAACTTCGAGAGGAGCGAGTGCTCGAGCAGCCTCTCGGCGGAGTCGGCGGTGAAGGCGCCGGAGGAAGTTCGGCGGGGAGGTTACGTACGTCAGGGACTGCTGACGCGGGGGCGAACGCTGTCGGCGAGGCAGACCCAACAGAATCCTCGGACTCGGACTCCGAGACTCCTTCTTCACCCTCACTCTCCTCAGGCTCTGGCTCTGGCGCAGGGTCTGGAGGGAGATCTCCTCGCGCTTGATCTGGATCGGTGACGACAGTTTGAGGGAGACGGGAGCTAGGGGAGACAGGGCGAGAGTGCCGCGAGGCTGATCGAGATGCAAGGGTGCTTCGGGGTCCGAGCGGGTGTTGCGCTCGTCGGATCGCTTTGTAGCGTGGGTAGTCCTCGGGGATTGATCGGGGTGTCCGATTTGGGCACAGTTGCTGCTCACAACGATAGAGGACTGTCTCAGGGCCGTCTGGGATGTAGACGTCGATGAGGTCCTGGGAGTCGAATGCGTGGATCTGGCCTTGGCAGGCAGCCACGTTGGATGGGGGGAGGACGGGGAGGTGCGCGTACTACAATGGCCGTGCTATGCTAGCTTACGCTACGGCGCCCAAGAAGACACTAGGGTTCGCAGTTCACGTGGGGCCCAGTACTGCTTTTGACTATTATGCAGCAGGAACCTAGTCCACGCGTCCGTGAGGACAAACACTGCCCACTGAAGTGCAGGTGTTGAAGAGTTCGTTCCTCTAGGGGTGGCGATGTATGTAAGGCTACCTACGTATCGTATGTACTGTAGGGTATCGTAGGGGTGCGCACCACCCGACCTGTGGGAAAGGAAAGTGAATGTGGGGAGTCCCGAGAGGACGCCGGCAGCTTGGGGAGTTTCGACCTAATGTCACAACTTGAGGTCAAGCAACTGGGGAAAACCTAAGGGCTGGGGGCGTCCGACTAAGTCTTACCGAAGCGATGGTGAGCTATGCTCAAACCTAAGGCTAGGGACAAGAAATGTATTAGTTAGTGTAAGGTAAGTAAGAGAATACAGGAGCTTACTGACCTAGGGACAAGAGGTCGAAACTGAGGTCCCTAGGGCAGCAGAGGCCGGCTTATATACAGGGGTAGATAAGGGCAGGCTGTGCGCGCTGGTCCGTGCGCAGCTGGTCCGTGCACAGCTGGTCCATGCACAGCTGGTCCATGCACAGCATGCCGACGTGGCCCCGGGGGCCGGTGAGTCAGAGCGGCTGTGTCAGCGGAGCCCGAGCTGTGCCGTGCACTGCCGTCCTATCTAATCTTATCGTACAGTAGATAACGACGTGTCCATATCAGGCATGTAGTACAGAGGTCGCGGGTTCGAGCCCGCGAAAAGGAAAAAATTAAGAAACGGCTAGGCGCCGTACCAACTCGTGACAATGCGCCGTTGAGGGGGGGGGTAATGTCACGAGTTGACATGGCGCCTAGCCATTTTTTAATTTTTCCCTTTTTGTGGGCTCGAACCCGCGACCTCTGTACTACCTGCCTGATATGGACACATTGTTATCTACTGTACGATCAGATTAGATAGGACAGCAGTGCGCGGCACAGCTCGAGCTCCGCTGACACAGCCGCTCTGACTCACCGGCCCCCGGGGCCGCGTCAGCATGCTGCGCACGGACCAGCTGCGCACGGACCATGCTGCGCACGGACCAGTGCGCACAGCCTGCCCTTATCTCCCCATGTATATAAGCCAGCCTCTGCTGCCCTAGGGACCTCAGTTTCGACCTCTTGTCCCTAGGTCAGTAAGCTCATGTACTTACTTACCTTTCCAATGCTAACTTACTTGTCCCTAGCCTTAGGTTTGAGCGCTGCTCACCATCGCTTCGGTGAGATTTAGTCGGACGCCCCCAGCTTTCAGATCTTCCCCTGTCGCTTGACCCCCAGTCGCGACACTAGGTCAGTAAGCTCATGTACTTACTTACCTTTTCAATGCTAACTTACTTGTCCCTAGCCTTAGGTTTGAGTGTAAGCTCACCATCGCTTTGGTAAGACCCAGTCGAACGCCCCCAGCATCCTTTGTTTGTGTTTCCCCAGTCGCTTAACCCTACGTCGCGACACTCCATCTCCATCTCAACACTGCATGATGGTCGACGACGACATCCACATTGAGTGTGTGGATGAGGGCGTGGTTGTATGGGGACGCGATTATCACCAATGTGTAGCAAGGTGCAGCATTGGTGGCATTCACCTGAAGCCCCTGGGATGGCTCACACAATTGGCCCCCAACAGCCATTCCAAGAACGCTTGCCTGTCGCATGTGCTGGACTTGTATTTAAAGGTTAGTATGAACATATGATACATGGCACAGGCTCTCGCTAGAATAGGGGCAAGGTGCTGGGACAAGACCCCCAGGCGATGATTGTTAATGTCGCGAACAGGACATGAACATGCAGGAATGAAAAATGTCGACATGACACTGGCTGCAGATCTCCCCTGTTTGTACTTGTTTGATCCACTTTGCACTGGAATGCTAAGTCCTTTGAATCGAGTGCATTCGTGCAGATCACATGATTGTGCAAAATTTAGCCTGGGGCGGACTCTCAGGCGGGTCCGCCGGGGGTGGACTCTCAGGTGGAGCGAGACACATAATTTTCAAGATAGGTTGAGATTAGATACAGGCGGAGCATAGCACAAATATTTATTTAGGGTGAGATGTATGCCGCGGGTTTGAAGCTGAGCCTATCTAAACGTCAGGCTGTGTAGGTAGCCATTAGTAAATTGTAGTGCGACAATAGCATGAATAGGTCAATAGCTCAAAATTATATGCGAATATATTGCTAATATATATAAAATAGCTCTAATTAGCCTGGGGGGGGGGTTTTCCTGATGTGGGGTGCGGGATGAAACCGGCTGGGTACGAGGCAACCACCTCTGTGCCTAATGCCGCGTGACTGCATTCTTCCAGAAGAGGATGCTACATCTTCAGGTCATGCAGAACTCAAACTGACGTTTCGGAGCTTTGCCGGTTTAGCAGTTGACCACGTACGCCGCGCCGCTTTTCGGCTGGTCTGGATCGTGATCTATCTGTGGAACCGCTGCTTCCATGCGATGTAGGCTCATGCAGCAAGAAGGTCTTCATCGCCTCATGCCAATGCCCGTGAGCGCCGAACCGCTTGCATCACCCATCATGGATGTGTGCAGTTGTGGGCGATTTCTACGTGTTCAACATGGCCTGCTGTTAGCGGTCGTGGGCGTCCAGCGCGAAGTGCGGCGCAGAAGCATCGAAGAACTTGGTTGCTTCTGCCGGGAACATCGGTTGCTGACTGGCTCGTCGAGCCGGTAAAGGAACACGCTGTCCCTGCGAATCAGGCAAACTCACCAGGCCTATTGCTTATGAGCAGAACGCCCGAGCTGCCCTCGTCCATAGCTGTGCCGTTCCTCCCTGCCTTGAACGATGGCGTTCGCATTCCGCTACCAGCCTCTGAAGGGCCTCTACATGCTGGGCAGCATCCTCGTCCTGCTCTTCATCCGCCTTCCTGTTTGGACAATCCTCGGCCTCGTCCCGTCGTGGCGCCCCCTCCCCACATGGTCTCTCGGCCGCTCCCTCATCGTCCAGGCATTCCAGGCATACGTCGGCATCCTCTTCAACACCGCCATCGACGCTCCTGCACGCCCTCGCGAGAACGCCCCCGACGCCGTCAAATCCGGGCTGGTCTGGATTGACCCCACTCCGGACCTCATCGTGGGCGAGGTCCGCGACTTTGCAAACGCTAATCGTGTCCAGGCCGAGAAGGTCCCTGGCTACTGGCATGGCTCCAGGGCGTCGGATGGCACTGCCGGCCAGCGTGCCTCGCCTGGCGAGAAGGTCGTCTATCACTTCCACGGTATGTCACGATGCCCGTCCAGTGCCGCCGTGCCTGACGAATATTCATTCATCCATACCCCTCCAGGTGGTGC